AAGCTCCAGGTCAGGTAAAATTCTAAAATACAATGGGTCATGGATTCTGGAAATCCCCTCATGCGAAATAAATCCAGACATTACATTAAGTTAAAGATTTGTGTTACTCAGTGTTAGAAAGCTTAATTGCTTTTAAATTGGCACCTTCTAATTTTATCATGATGTAATGATTCTGTTTACATCCTTAGATGTTTTACCAATGGTACATTCCAAAGAACTGCTTGTGTATCACACAAATTTATTCACATTCATTGATCAAAAGAATTTGCAAAGCAGTGTATCCTAACAAAACATTCACAGAAGTTAATACTGCATGTAAATCTGGAATGAACAGTTCATTTCAAGAACTTAAAGAGAACTGACGGACTCCCCCTTCAAGAAACAAGTTTAGGAAACTTTAAACTTGGCACGGATTTTATAGGAGTCACGTGTATTGAGTTGTGGCAACCACAACTCATTTCAATTGAGTTAAAGTACGTTCATGATCGCCGCCATGATCGTTTGCACGATCATGGCAGCGAGACCGCAGTGCATGTAACAAAACTGCATTCTAAACCTCATTTCCAGGTAGCTACAAATAATAGCTACATGCACAAGGGTTTATCCACTATGAACACAGGTCAGGGGTCCCTTCATTTTCTCTGTTTTCTCTGATACAATCTAAATTCAGAATTTGTATCTTGACATTAACAGAAAAAATAACCTTTTACGCTTATTACAGTTGAGCTTTGAAGACAAATGACACTGCGCTCGATTTGGTTGCTTCCATGTTTATTTGAACAAATAAAACTACAGAAAACATATTTTCCTCAGAGGTGCTCTTTAAAATCCTTTCGCATCTGATGATTGTGCAATACCTTACTGGAAATCCCATCCCCGCATGATGCAATGTCCACAGAAAGATATTTTAGGCATGACGTACACTACCGGTATAAATTAGACCACACCCACTGACATCAGTGAAAACTCAACGACCAACCAGAACAGATTATCGCACGACACGAAATCTATTCATGAAAAATTTCCAAGTTAAATGTGCCACTTCTACCCAGATACAATGCAAATGAACTATTTATGTATGCATAAATGCACATATCACCAATGTTGAATTCACAAAAGAGCAGTGACGAGTGGTATAAAAGGGGTGGTTCGGGAAGTCATTCGGCACTTAGTAGCCTCCAAAGCTTTTTGAAGGTGAAATCTACAATGCTGTGGCCACCAAGTTTTTTTACTGAATATCAAAGCGTCACACAAAGCTTTACACCGTATGAGTTTGTTGCTGGCTATTCACCACACGTAGAACAACTTTTTATCGAGATGTCAATTTGTCAGAGATCAGCTTCGGAGGCTATTAAGTCACCAGAAGCCTCCAAAGCTCAATTGTGCCCGTAAGTAATGATTGTTAAATTTTCATGAATTCACCTGTAAGTTAAGAAATAGTTTTTGAAATACTGGGCTAAATAAAGAAGATTTGGTGAAGTGCTTCCAGGTACTGTAACTCATCAGTGGTTCATGAATCTTGATCTTCAGCCATGCATATTACATCAGAAGTATTTGATGAGCTGGCTGATGAGGAAAGTTACCAGAGTTTGGTGTTTAAGTCTCTCTCAGTGAGGACTTAAGTCTGCATTAGGACAGTTAACCAGATCATGTGCTATACAGTTAACATGGTGACTTCCCACTTGACCGTGCAAATCTCCACAGTATTTCGAACTTTTTTGTGTTTTTCTCCCATTTCAAAACTTAACAAACAATGCATGATGTTTAATTAAGCGCTAACAATCATCTGCAAACAATTCATCATTCCTGCGCACAAATAAATACAAATAATTGATTGAATTGACAAATCAACATGAAGCACTAATTTAAACACTACAAATTGTCAATCCAGTTGCTGTTGTGACCATCCAGGTCAACATGGCATATTAACACTTCACTGACATACATGTATATGGTAAAATGCAGATTTATGCCACCAGAAAATGTAAATTTTTGAAAATGGATGCCACCACTTCTGAAAACCTCAACATTCACTAGCAGAACATGGAAAAATTTGTGTTGTCCACTTTTGAAGCTTCAAAGTCAGCACATGAACTTTGACACTGGAGTGAAATTCAATTTCTACACGCTACTGTATTTGAAGTTCAGGAAAATAAAATCTACCTTATAGAACCGCCTTTGTCTCTGGTGCTGACACGATTTTTAAGAGCTGACACGACTGTTTTTTTTTCCCTCTGGTAGGCTGACCCCACCAATGGCGGACAAATGCCTTTCACATCAGGACAAAGAGAATGACGGACAACTCTCACAGGTAAATGTACTTGTATATGCATGCTTAAAAAAGAAGTCATTATGTTAAACAAAAAGAATGCAGGGTGGATCACACAAGTTTGAAAACTATTATGGCTTACACAAATTTACATATAACAGAGTTATTACAGAGTCCTGTGGTGGTTTTAGTCTCATAGGTTTCACTGCAATGGCACACGTATATTGAGGACTCCAAGACACATGAGGAAAAGAGCATGTACCGGTACCAGCACTGATGAATACTGTCAGTGTTTCATGTAGCCAAAACTTATGCACAAAAGGAAAACAGGTGTGGACTCAGGTGAAAGGTTCATAGAGAGAGAGAGTCGTAGACTTGGGGTTATGGTACATGTTCGTGCAACAATGGGAAAAAGTTTAAGTCAGAAAATAGACTCGGAACGTTTCCTTGACATAATGTGCAGTAGGGCTGAGTCACTCTGAATAACTCACTAATCGAATATTCAATAATAGTTTTTCATGTCTAGGAGCTTCTCCAGCCACAATTTAGGAAGATTTAAGAGATGACCAATACTTCTTGCTCCGTTGAAAATGTCTATTCAGTGCTTTTAAATTTTTAACGAATAAGGTACTTTCGAATCGTTGTAAGATTTTTGTCCTTTTTCGTTTGAATCTGTTTGAAACAAATCTTCATAGTGTATTTTTCTCATTTAAAACAAAAGAAATTTCTCCCTTTTTATGATTTTTTAATTTGAATACTCGAATTCAAGAAGTGATATTTGAATATTCAAAAATATTCAAAAATCCCATGTACCAAAAACATACAGTCTGCCAGCAGTTTATAATGCACAATTCAACACATCATTCTCAACCTGTAACGGAGAAATTTCATGTGAAGTCTGTTTGAGGTAATAAAAGAAAAATGTCAACGCGCCCCAAGTATCTAAAAAAAAGGTGGGGAGGGGTTTACCGTCCTACGTTAGGGTGATGTTGGTAAAACTATACAGTTAATTAACTACAGCTGCTCTTGCCCTGATAATTTGCAATGTGGCTTTGCTTTCGCATTTTGTTTCAAACAGGAAGTCACAGAATGTGCCACATCACACAACCTGAGATCTCCTGAGATTAAACACAACATGACAGAACATGTAAATTTGAATTCTTCAATTTTATTTACTGAATCCCACGTATTCTCCAACCACACTTTATTACACAAACTTATTTTCTTATAAATTGATTCTGTCCATAAGAGACCAGAATAAAATAGTTTTGATATTGACTTCTAATACTGGGAAATACAAATCAATTTGAATCATCTCTTCTGAATGCCCAATGAGGAAATCAATCACAAATGATGTTGACACCAAACCAAACTGACAAGCTCAACTATCTCTTTTGCAAACCATCCTGTCCATTCTACACACTTGCGTGTATAACATACATGTAGTTAACCACAGGTACAAGTAAGATAGACATGACCAAAGATCGTATAGCGCCGCGTAGCGGCGCAAGATGGTGAACTTCACTGTGAATACACGTAAAACATTGGAATCGCATGGGCGCCATTTGAGCAAGCGATACGCCTGCGCAATGCACATTAACGCACTGGCGCAGGCGCCGCAGCAGGCACGTGCACCTGGTGAGCCTGCGCCTAAGCATTACCATAAACTGCGCAGGCGTATCGCTTGCTCAAATGGTGCCCATGGTAATTACACCTTTACAGTATACAATATTTGGACATGACATGATAGGCTATGTATATTGTACATCACCCATACCACATCTATGTGTTCACTGCTTCCTCTGCACTTTACCCACAGAGAAAAGAAAAGAAAAGAAAAGACATTTGGAACCTGACAGTTGATCTTTGTGGCAGTGCAAAGAAACCATGTCACCCAGCAGTTCAGGTATGTATGTACATTTTAATCCTACCATTCTAAAATCAGACATTTAACCGCCTACAGAGAATGTGAAATCAGAAAACCGGAGGACTGCCAGAATTAAATTTTTCATTCTAAGAATAAACAAATATGACCAAGTGACTTCCCCATTGGCCTTGTTTTGTGACACTTGAAGAGGGTAAATAGGAATGTGTATCTAAGCAACTTTCAATCTCTTATTTCTAAATTTCTTTTTGGTTATTCCCCATGAGGAAGTGTTCTCTTCCTCTTCCAGGGCACTTCTGCAATCACCATTTACGCCACAACTGCATTCATGGGGGTGGAACCCAAGATTTGCTCGTTGAAAATTCAAAAAAGCTTTGCTCACTGTCGTAAACTGAACTAAACAGTATTTTAATAACCAAAATTTACATTAACAATTTGTGTCAACATAGTGGCACACCACCAGGAAGATCTCTCCACACAGTATTTAGGCAAATATTGGCAAGGATTTCATCACCATTGAATATGTAATGAATACTAAAAAGTTAAGTCTGTCAACACATGTGGCATCGGTATTGCCTTATTTAACTCTAAGAGTTCTCTATCATTTATTGTATCAGCATTTTACTTTTGAATCATTGTAAGATTTTTGTCATTTTTTCATTTGAATCTGTTTGAAACAAACCTCCACAGTACAATTTTTCTCATTTAAAACCAAAGAAATGTTAACCTTTTTATGAATTTTGCATTTGAATACTTGAATTCAAGAAGTATGAATATTTTTATTTTATACTTCATTGGAATATTTTATTTGAATATTCAATAATCCATTGAATATTTGGATATTCGGCATAGCCCTTATGTACACGGTAATCGAAAAAAGGCATTCCTACCTACAAAGAACTCTAGTTCAATAATCCCATGTACCAAAAACATACAGTCTGCCAGCAGTTTATAATGCACAATTCAACACATCATTCTCAACCTGTAACGGAGAAATTTCATGTGAAGTCTGTTTGAGGTAATAAAAGAAAAATGTCAACACGCCCCAAGTATCAAAAAAAAAGGTGGGGAGGGGTTTACCGTCCTACGTTAGGGTGATGTTGGTAAAACTATACAGTTAACCCCCCGTCATGCTTTTATTTTGATTTTTACACGGTCTCCTCTTTACTGATGTTGGTGAATGTGGGTCGTTTGCGGCTGCCCGAGGCACCCTTGTATGCCATCGGCTCAACCATGTTTAAATGTATTCATTTTTCCACACTTAATGTCTTCATTGTACAGTGCATTTGAGCATGTCTGTGAAATTTGTGCTTTATAATGAATGAATAAATTATTATTGATTATTTCTCATTTTGTTTCAAACAGGGAGTCACAGAATGTGCAACATCACACAACCTGAGATCTCCTGAGATTAAACACAACATGACAGAACATGTAAATTTGAATTCTTCAATTTTGTTATTTACTGAATACCAAGTACTCTCCAACCACATGATATTGACAGTTTGGGTGGCCTCTTCTTGACACGGGTTTCTTATTCTCGCGCTTGAACGGCGGGAACACAACTCAAGAACACTGTTCTCCGAACAGGATCACACACCACCTCCTCATCAGGGTTTTACAAGAACACACAAGAAAACTCGTTAGATTTTGATTTTTGAACAGCTGCAAACATGGCAAAAAGTAGAGTGATGGCTTACAAAGCCAGAGACAATAGGAAATTTTGCAAAAGTAACACCAATTATTCTCCATAAAACAGAAATGAATGTTCCTGTTTAAACAGAAAAGAATTCAGCCCAGTTATCCAAACGTTAACTCTCAAATAACGTACATGGATGCCATATTGCATGTTGCTTGTGACTAACTACCAGCAACAACCAGTTGTACGTTCCCCCCGTTTGAGCGGCTGACCCAAGAACAACAAATCAAGCTGTTTGTGAACATAGGAGAACAAGTCACCTGAACTCGGCCAAAGTTGCACAGAGCCACCACTCTGGCAAAGACCTCTGCAGTGATATAACTAGATGTCCGGTCCAAGGGCACCCAGAACCCCCCCCCCCTCCCACCAGCCTTGGACAGGATAGCATTCTTTTTTTCAACGACAGTATTTGTGATAAATATTCTCTCACTTTGGTAATACCGAAATACTCTCTCAGGCTACACTGAATGCAATCAAATTAAGGACATTTTTCACATTAACTAATGAAACCATGAAAGTGTTCCAAATAAAATTTGAAACAAGGTGTCTTTCGTTCTTTTTTAACTTCTCCTTCTCCATTTTTAAATTTTTTATCTCCTGCATTAGGTATTACAACATCGGGGGGATTTCAACATCAATCCGTTGCAGAGAGTTCCTAAAACGTTGAAGGGACCTGTGTTTAAACATGGTCACACAATGCTGATGAAAAAATCAACTCATATCACAAAAAAGTCAGAAACTTTGACTAAAAATATACTTTTAACTGATGATTTCAGAAAAAAATATTTGAAAAGATATACGGACACTGAATTTAGTTCACTGTTTATTAGTGCCAACGATCTAAACAAAAACTTTTTTAAAATTAATGACTATCTACTACAGCTTGCTTATCGGTGGACAGTAATAGGACTTTCCGAGACATTTCTTAAAAATTGTGATCCGCCGGTGCATCTTTGTGACTATACTTTCATTGGAGATAACAGAGAAACAAAACCAGGTGGAGGGGTTGGGCTTTATGTGCATAATCACATCCATTTCAAAGAAAGAAGAGATCTTACAGTGCAAGTTGAAAAGAGTGAGACACCATGTAATTCGATTTTTATTGAAATAACAGAAATGAACATTATAATTGGTGTAATTTACAAACCACCCTCTGTCAATTGCTATAAATTTGTAGAGTCTTTAGACAAAACTCTTACTCAGATAAACCAAGACAACAAAGTATCTTTTATAATGGGGGATTTCAATATCAATCTGTCCGAGGAAAAAACCATTCAACAAATGTTTAAGGAAACTCTACGTAAACACGATCACACAACACTGATCGAAAGACCAACTCGTATCACAGAAACATCGAAAACTTTGATTGACAATATAATTACAAATGTGGCCCATGCAAAAGTGCCAGTGGACACAACCAGTGGAGTTCTTGTCAGTGATGTTTCAGATCATCTTCCAATATTCCAGGTGTCTACTTTTGATGTATCTTCTGATCATGATGAAAAATTGAAGCTTGACACACAAATATGTGAAAACGAACCACAGAAAACAGATCTGAGCAATGCCTCCGCACATAAAAAACAAATTATGGAAGAGAATGACCTCCCATTTCGAAAGGACTTGTGGAACACAAACAAGATCAAAAAAAAGAATAAAGAAAAGGAGGAATTATATTTGAACTATTTGAAAAGTAGTAACCAAGAAGATAAAGAAAAATACGTCCAGAGTCGAAATAATCTTGAAAGATGGATAAGCAAGACTAAAAGTGATATTTACATAAATGAATTGTGTCATTATGACAAAGTATGGACAATTACCAATCAAATGCAAAAGACCTTCAAATCTGGCAAACCTTGTGCATGCACCTCTGAAGATGTCATTCCACGTGAAATAATATCTGTCTCTAACAGCCCATATCAATCCACCAATCAACCTGATCACAGGACAAAAGGGGATTCTGTAGAAACACTTCGGGATGGCCTGCTCTTTACATATACAACATTTAAAGAGATTGAAAAACTAGTTGACCGGATTATCAAAGACAATGCCCATTTTGGTTTACATGAAATTTGTCCGCAACAGGCGAGAGAAGTCATGACTGATATCAATGTATCTCAGCGCCTGAGCAAAATTATCAACCAATTTTTAAGAGAAGGAATTGCCCCCAATTATTCCATCTCAAGTTCCTTAGACATAGTTTCTAAGCAGGGGAAGGCCATGGAAGAATGCATACCGTCAGGATGTTCTGATGAAATTTTGGAAAGGATTGTTTGTAATAAAATAAAGAATTTCTTTGACAAAGGCATAGTAAACCACAACAATCCATATTTGTTTGAAACTGAAAAAGTAAAAAAAATGGCATACCTTCTTAACGAAGTACGAAAAGGTCTTCGCAACAAAATCTCCCCTGTGGGTGTATTCTTTTATCTAAAGCAATCAGGATTAAACCAACAAATCCTCTCAAATAAATTAAAGAAATGTGGAATGAGTGGAACTCTTTTAAACTTGATTGTAAGTTATTTTAAAAGTAAATATCAAAATACCCAAAGCACAATTACACATAATTCATGCTTGCTAGACCTACTGTATGCCATTGTTATGACTGATATCTCCAATTTTCCTGTTATTGTAAATAAGAATGAAATAGTTGTAATTTTTGTTGATGAAAAGAAGTGGAAAAAATCAACAAGGCAAAAAAAACAGAAAGAAGCCCGGGAAAATCTTTACAATCAATTAGAAGAAAATGGGCTTTCCATAGACAGATGTTGTTACATACGGTTTAAAAATGAGGAAAACAATGTTAAACCTGTAAAAGACCAAACAGCACCAAAGGTAACCAATGAGAAAATCAAACGTGTTGACAAAACAACATTCTGTGGGAGAAGTATTGATTCTGGCTTAATCTTTCACATTGGTGATGAAATGCATGTTTGTGAAGAACAGAAAGTCATTGATGAGTGTAGAAAACAAGATTTACTTCCTCCTGAAGTCCTCACTGCTGCACAACTTTGCAGCATGAAAAGTCAAAACGTGGAATCAGATTAACCTATAAATTCTCACTCACATTCATTCATTTAAAAAAAGGAGATGATCGTATTGAATGGTGTTGCATGGTATGTACCTGTGCATGCATGTTATCAGGGGTATTTAAAAAATTTTTATTGAAAAGAATTTTATAAACAATAAGTAACTACTCTTTCCTAGTATTTTGGATACCTATGATAATATTTTTTAGATATTTAAAATTCATGCATGGCTTAAGCTTATAAATGCATGAAGCTCCAATAATGTTTGTATTCTGTAGTTTTTATGGTATTTTATAGTGTAGTTTTTATTGTGAACCCACTTGTCCTGGGTATGACATCTAGTGCATCTAGTGGCAAGGCTTTGGAGTTATGAAGTTTTGGGGAGTGTGGAACCACCCCTTAATTGCCATTGTTCCCAGGTCCGCCCTGGCTCGGAGCGGTAGCACCTGTTTGAGCCCCAACTATGGGTCAAATAGAATTCCATCTTTTTAGTTCTCATGCCTGGAGCCAGAGGCTAGGACAAGAACAGTCTGATGTAAAATATATGACCCAAACACCTCACTGCAAAATTCCAGCTTGCTTAGGCCATAATGATGAGCCCCAGGTGTGAATGGTCAAGCTCGTTTGCCACATATTGGCCTCATCAGCCACCAGGCAAAGGTGCAACAGATGTGAACAACCTGTCTTAAATCTTTGTGCTTCGTTCTTTATGAAGCTAAGCCATTATGATTATTATGTAGTTTTAATGGTAATTACACAGTTTATTTACATTGGCTTAATGTTATATATTCCAAAGTTAAATCTCACAAAAGATTTTTATGTAAAATGCAATTTGCGAAAACAAAACATTACAAAGGTAACCATTTTTTGTTATTATTGATAAGAGTGAACCATTATCATTATAGATATTATTGACTGTTTAAGTTTTTAGAATAAAAATGTTTAAAGAAAAACACTCCATTAATTCTTTTCTTCAAAAAGGACAAAGAATTGTACTGAGCAAAGCAATGCAGAAGTACTCGGTGGAATACCTGAACATATCAGAATATATCGAATTTATTACTGTTATACTAATGAGTCTTTATTTTAGTGGTTAGGGTGAGAATCTTGAATTGGGTGCAGTATGTGGCATGTGCTGCCAATGGATATGCACCACTTCATGTTTGCTACCAGCAATGACAGCACATGACAACAACAACAAAAGCTACCGTACTACAAACGTTTGTAGAAGATGAAATAGCCAAAGCATCTCAAATCTCAAGTTGGCCTCCAGCACCAAATTAACCTGAAAAAAGGGGGTCATAAGTAAGTAAAAAACAATATATATTCAAGCAGTTGAAATTTGATCACGTCGATGAAGCTGAGTGCAAAACCAGTCCTATAAACTTCAACAGGAGCTGACTAGTATAAAAATCGCTCCTTGAACATCATCAGAAACTAATCAGAGTGGCAGATACACCAGCCCATTAGGTTGGGCAAAAGTCAAGGAATACGAGAGTAATGAGTTCGCAACTGACTCTGATGGCAAGATGATGAAAAGGGTAGGAGACGGCAGCCAGAAAACTCCAAGCTCTGTCCATCAAAAAATCTGGAGCCAAGAGATTCAAGGCTCGTGATTATCGAACTGCTGCTCCAGCTACTCTTTCTGTACCTCGTCCGACACGATACCAGTTTTTGGAGGCCAAAGACTTCAAACCAGTAGAGACGACTGCTTCGCCTGTGGAAACCAAGGTCACTAGAGAAAATCCTGCCTGAACATCAGAAGCCAAGAACAGGTCAATTCCTCTTTGAGCTCCTCTGCCTAGCAAGGATGGCACATCAACCAAGTCCAGCACATGGAAAAAAGTTAAGTTGACTTATTTGAAAAAACTATTTCTTTGAATACGAGGAAGTGTTCCACAGGTTGTAAAATTCAAGTATATGGTCATTTGCAATATCATGATTTCTGGAAATCAATTGAAGCCAACTGCTTTGTACTAGACATAAGGCCAAACAAACTAGCAGTTGTGCCCCCATTACATTGAAAAAGAAATTAGGTTGGGTAGGTGGGTCATGTCTCTTTTAGATTGGGGGAATTTTTTTTTTTATTAAAAAAATATTTTGATGGTCTACAGTATACTCCATCCACTCTTTTTTTTCCTACAGATTTGTAACTAGTGGATAGGTCTTGTCAAAGACTGTATCCAAGTCAAAGCCTCTTAAGACAATTATACATTTGTGTTGGAGTGACATTTTAATGAGTTCATGGCCAAAACAGTGTTTGAAAGCTCGTACAAAATGATGTACATAGAGCACTGAAAACCCATGACACAATAACTTTGCATGCCCCCCGCCAGTTGTCACGAAACACATGTTTACTTCTTTACCTTAGTTTTGCATATTGACCGGGTCGAACACTGGAATGCCAGTGAACTCGTGTGATGGAAATGAGGCGTCTGATGGATTATTATGTTAGTCTCTACAGTCACAAGCAATCTGAAAGAAACCACGGTTCAATTATGATGTTTTTCAATGCAACAAAAAATGGCTTCAGCTGCAGAGGTTACACAGGTAATGTGAATGATGAACTCCACTAACAATGGCCAGTTCTGGTCTGACCAAGGAAAGAACCTCTTGATTCCAAAAGTCACCATGGTCATACAGCAATTAATTAGTTAAGCAGAGGGTAAACTGATTTGTCCTGCTTGGAGGTCGGCTTCCTATTTGGTGTTATATTTTCCAGATGACTACAACTCAAGATCTGAAATTACTGGCATTTTAAAATTTGTTTGTCCTTTCCCTCTGTTTGAAACTAAACAGAACAAAAATAACTCAACGTTTATTCAAGATATCAGTACTGGTCTAGCGGTGAGATTTAACAGTCAAGGGCGAATTGTTACTTCAGCAAGTTAAAGAACAATGTGTTAATGAACTTAGTCAATTCATTGTATTAAATGATTTATATTATACTAAATTACTATAACAGATTTATTTGTATTTTTATTTTCTTTAAGCTGATCTTCAACCCCAACAAACCAAAACTCCATTTCCCACAGCATGCTGCCAGCCAGTTGCCCTCCATATTGGTGAATTCAAGAGCTCCAAGTACGGTGACTCAATACAACTCTTCTTTCACCAGATGGTAACAATCGCATAGCAAATCACCACTACCTGGAAAGCCGTATATGATATTTTATCAGCAATTCAGCATCATCTCAATCACCTGTTATCAGTGCAACATCCACAGCAACTTGCATGGCCGGTCTTGATGATCCAATGAAAACCTCATTAAAGTGCATTCTCCAATTGTAGAAATAAATTTGTTTTTAACCTTTTTGTTACATTTGAACACTGAAGTTCGCTGAACACTGAAGTTTGCTGGCCATGGTCTCCGAGCCTCTGAGCAGCCAGTGTTAGACATAACTTGCGCTCTATGAATGGGATAAGTGTCAAAACATATAACACAAGGTTTACCAGAAGACAAGTTTTTTTGAGAGTTCCTTCGAGCTTGTATTAAGCAAGTTCGACTGTATATGGGTGCATCGAAGCAAGAGATGTGGGGGTCTTATGTCAGATCCTAGAGCAATAGCAGCACATCTGGGATGTGTACGACTGGAAGAAAACTTCTAGAGGATGCAATCAATGATGATGACGACATAATTTAAGATCAGGAAAAGGGTGCCACGGCTGCTGGAGACCATTTAAGCTTCATTGTTGGTGAAAATCAGAGTTTGCTAAAGATTGTTCTGTCCAGGAATGCTTTTCCAATTTGTTTCTCAATGGTTTATACACATCTACATGTAACACTGTTTCTTTATTCTGTTCAAGCCGATTGCTGCAACTTGCACAATACCAAAATTGAGGAGTATAAATGTTTTGGATGGAGTTAAATGACAAATGGAGATGTATTCGGTTGAGTACCAGAACGTATTAAAACACATTGAATATAGACTGGAACATCTGTGGTGACACCATGCGATCAATCTCTTTTGTGATCAAGTGTGGTTCTCATGAGAACCAAGAGGCTCGACATTTTGAACAGCTTGCTCTGTTAGTCTTCAGGAGAATACAGGATTCTGGCTGGAAAGGGGTTTATATAAACTGGTCGAGGATTCTGTGCAAAGGATTAGCTCATTGAGGGGTGTTGTATTGGATGCGAAGCTTGTGTGTTGAGGCACGAGGTAGTTGGTGCTCACTCGAGTGTGTCAGTATGGTGGAGGCTGTCAGAGAGCGAACAGACAAGATGTCAGGGCACAGATGACCTAAGGGCAGACTAGGTTGGGGACTGGAGAAGGTTGGATGATGCTGGAGATGAGTTCTGTCTGGTCCCTGTTGATCTTGTGGTCTGTAGCATAGGAGCACTTGAAAATTGCTCACAATGGCCATTTTGAAAGTATGGGGCACCAGATTCTGTAGACTCTTGGTTTGTACTAGGGCTTTGCCCGGTCCTTGTGAGAATGAAGCACAAAGTAGATCTTGAGGGGGGCTGTATGAAAGATGCATATATTTTGTTTGTGGAGCATGCATTGAATGAATTAGTGGCCTAAACAAGATGACTTTGGGTGTAAGAGACCCTCCGCACAGGGGTATGTCTGGGATCTTGGGTCTAGACTGGTCTTGCCTTGTAACCCGTTGCATCGTAGGGTGATAGTGATGAAGTGGAGTTCTTGGTTGAGGGGTTCCTCATGGCAGATATTGCAAACTCTGTGTATCAGGGTTTGGTTGACTGCAGCCCAATTTTTGGGTGATGGAAAAAACCATCACCAAGAAGTGGCTCCAAAGAAAACTCAACCTCACATGATCCAGCAACATCTCACCAGCCGTGTATCATCAACTTTGCCCCTCCAGCTCTCAGTGCCCTTGATTGTTTGGACAGCCGAAGATTCACAAGTCAGATGTCACTCTCCAGCATATAGTGGCCTCCCAGGGAGGTCCCACCACAGCCAAGTAACTCACCAAGATTTTGCACTCCCTGTCAAGAAATCTGACCAATTTACTGACTTTATTCAAGATGTCATCCTACAGCCTGATGACATAATGGTGAGCTTTGATGTCATCTCATTATTTACCAGCAAGGATGCCTGCAACATTGCCAGCGAGCGACTTCAACGTGACCCAACACTTAAGGACCTTACAGACAAAACACCTAATCAAGTTCAACACCTGTGTCTCCTCATCAAGCTGTACACTGGTGAGACTTGGCAGGGACCTTCCCAAAAGGCTCAAAGGGTACAAAGCCCATAGCAGATGAGGAGACTACAAGTCAGCAAAGATTCACAACCCAGATATCCGTCTCCACACTATGGTGGCCTCCAAGGGAGTTCCCACCTTCAACTCAGCCAAGTACCTCACCAAGATTTTTGTGCACCCACTGGTAGGCAATACCAAACACCACATCAAGACCTGCAACCAACTGGCTAACTTTATTCAAGATCTCATCCTCCAGCCTGGCGATATAATGACGAGCTACAATATTGTCTCATTATTTACCAGCAAGGAGGCCTGCAACATCTCCGGCAAGAAACTTCAATGTGACCCAACACTCAAGGTCCACACAGACATAAGAGCAGACCAAGTTCAAGATCTGTGTCTCTTCATCCAGCTGAACACTGGCAAGACTGGCAGAGACCTTCCCACCAGGCTCTGAGGGTACAAAGCCCATGTCAGATGGGGAGACTACGGCAAGTCGACCATCGTCAAGCACTCCCACACCACAGACCACAAGATCAACTGGGACCAGACGGAACTCATCCCCAGCGTCATCCACTGGTTCCCCTGCCGAATCCAAGAAGCCATCAAAATCTACAAGAACAACACCACCTCAAGACATTGGTTTCTCCAAGTGACAAGTTTCTCCATAAGTCTGGTGCCTCATACTTTCAAGACAGTCCGATGGGTCTTCTATACCTGAGGACAGTACCCCCAACCTTCTCCAGTCCCCAACCTAGTCTGCCCTTAGGTCATCTGTGCCCTGACATCTTGTCAGTTCGCTCTCTGACAGCCTCCACCACACTGATACACTCGAGTGAGCACCAACTACCTCGTGCCTCAACACACAAGCTTCGCATCCAGTACAACACCCCTCAATG